GCGCCGCGGTGCGTGCCCCGGGCCCCGGCGCAGCGACTTCCTGCAGAAGACCGGCAGCAACTCCTTCACCGTCCACCCCCGGGGGCTGCACCACGGCGCGGCCGCTCGCCCGCTCCCCAATGGGCCTGCGGCCTCCGAGAGCCGGGCCGGCGCTGCCAACGGCCTCGCGGGCTCCGCGCTGGCGCCGGGCGAGTGGAAGCCAAAGGTGGAGACGGGGGAGCTCCCCCGCCCCCGAGCCCCGGGACCCCCAGTGCCACTCCAGCCGCGATCCCGGCGTTGCCCACGCCCAACCCTGCCAGTGCCACTCCCAACCAGCGCCAGTGGGTCTCCGCGGCCACCAGCACCAACGACTCCTTCGAGATACGGCCGGCCTCCAAGCCGGACATGGACACGATTCCCGCCGGAGACATTCAGGCCCGGGCCCTGGCCAGCCTCCGTGTGAACTCCCGCAACTCTTTCGTGTTCATCCCCAAGCGCAAGGCCTCTGGGGCCCATTCTATGGAAGGGAGGCAGTCTGTGGGGCTGCCGGAGGGAGAGGTTGGCTGGGCGTCCCAGCACCCGGAACACAAAGCCCAGGTGGTGCTGGAAGTGGATGGCACACCTGCCCATGGGAGGAGCCCCTTGGGGGTCAAGGAGGGGGGCTGCCCCAGGCCAGCCAGTGCCCTCGTAGACCAGGCCGTTAGGTGGCAGAGAGCATCCTTGCCACCCCCATCCCCGCCCACTGCCACTGAAGCTGAGCCTGCCCAGGGCTTTGGGGTTCCCGGCTTGGCCAAGAATGGTGGGGAGCCTGGGAGGCCAGGGCTGCCCGTCACTTTCATCGATGAGGTGGACTCGGAGGATGAGGTCCCCCAAGAAGCCAAACTGCCCTGCTCGGGGACTGGTGCACCTCCTTGGTACCACTCGCACCCGACCAGGCCTGGGCACCTGTCAGAGCTCCAGCATCGAGGCGGCAACACCTTCATGGTGGTGCCCAGGAGAAAGCCAGGGGTCCTGCAGGCCAATAGGGAGCCTGGGCCACGGGAGGCGGAGGAAGAGGAAGTGGGCAGTCTCTCACAGCCCCCTGCTGTCCAGGGAACCCCACTGAAGAAGCGATATCCCACCGTGCACGAGATCGAGGTGATTGGCGGTTACCTGGCCCTGCAGAAGTCTTGCCTCACCAAGGCTGGCTCCTCAAGAAAGAAGGTCAGTGGTGGGGGCAGGGTCACCGGCCGGGAGGAGAGAGGTGACAGGTCATAGAGCTGTGGGTATAGCACATGCCCTGTTCCTATGACACCTGGTTTGGGCGGAGGACAGCTTCTATGTGGCTTGGAGGCGAGCTGGGGCTGAGCTGGGGGGACTACCTGGCCTGGGCCCCCAAGGGGCCCTGATAACCCAAGGGCCGTGGGGACAGCTTGCCTACTCTACGTTGAAAGGCTGTTGGGGAGGGTCAGCCTAGCCAGCACTGTGGCTGCCTGTTGGTTCCTGCTCTGTCTGGAATTGGTTGGGCAGGCCTGTGCCATTGTGGGTTCAGCTGAGAGAAGTAGTCCTGGGCCTGATGGCTCTGCCCTGGCCCTGGCTTTGAGAGAGTAGTCTGGTGTGGTCTCCTGGAGTCCTGGCCTATGCGGGTAACGTGTGCCGTGATGGAAGTGGGAACGGGCAGGAGGCCTGCGATTCTGGTGCGGTCGGATCTCTGCATTGCTGTCAGCCTGCGGGCACAGCACAGGGAGCCATTCGGAGGGGGCTCTCAGCTCCCCAGAAGGCTTGCTGGCTCGAGCTCAGCAGGACCTGGCTTTGTGCAAGTGTTTATTGAGCGCTTGGCATGTGTCAGGTCTGGTCTGGGTGTGATGCTGGGGAACAATGAAGGTGCCTCCTCATTGGGGAGGAGGAGCCTAGGGCAGAGAGGGACCCAGGTGTAGGGCCAGGAGTCCTGTGGGAGTGTCACTCTCTAGGCAGCCCTGCCCCGTGGCCTGGAGCCGTCTGAGCAGGAGAAAACGTTCTTCAGATTTTTCCTGGTCATTCCAGCACCTTTGTTTGGCCCTGGGGCAAATTCCAAGGCCAGCCCCACATGACCCCCATGGGCAGGCATGGGGCAGATACACTTTCTCCTGGAACCGAGATGGTGTTTGGCAGCCTTCTCCTTTGGCTGCTGGTGTCTAGGCTCACCTCTGAGACCATCTCTGCCCCCAGCCTCAGTTTCCTTGGGGTGATGGGGGTGGTGATGTGCCTTGAGTCAATCGAAGCATCCTCGCACCGCCTTGCTGGCTGTCTAATCGGACGTGCCACCTTCCTCTTCTGTTTGCTTCCTTTCCACCTCCTGCCTTGGTTGGGCTTGGCAGCACCCTTCCCTGTATCATTCTTCTCTTTGGGTAAGGGCATTAGCACTCCTGTCAGCTCCATCTGCTGGGTCAGGCATCCACACCCATCTCTCTCAGTGCTTCCACTGGGCCCCCCACCCGTCCTGTGTGCCTGACCTTATCTCACCCTCTGTTCAGTGCCATGGGCCATGACTCTCCGACCCTCGCCCCTGCCCTTCCCCTCGGAGGCATAGTCCATCCATTAACCTGGCTGCCAGCCCCACCCCCATGCTGGCCCCCGTTTGCCTGCTCCTCCCTCTCCTGCTTCCTGACCCTTGACCTTTGTTGCACTGGGAGGTGGTCCCTTCCCATGCTGGCCTACTGCGCTGGCCTGAGAAGTGGAGGTGATAGCAGTTGTCTGCCTTTTTTTTTTTTAAAGATTTTATTTTTATTCATTTTTTTCCCCCCAAAGCCCCAGCAGATAGTTGTATGTCATAGGTTCACATCCTTCTAGTTGCTGTACGTGGGACTCGGCCTCGCGCTGGACGGAGAAGTGGTGCCTTGGGGCGCGCCCGGGATCCGAACCCAGGCCGCCAGCATCAGAGCGCGCGCACTTAACCGCTAAGCCACAGAGCCGGCCCAGTTGTCTGCCTTGTAGATGAGGAAGCTGAGGCTGGCAGAGGCTACGGAGCTTGTGGGGCAGGAACTGAGTGCAGGGTTCTGTTTCTAGAGCCCTGACCTTAACATGGCTGTCTTTCTACCCTGAGGCTGGCTTCTTCCTGGGGCTTGAGGGCTGCAGCCTAGAGCCTGGTCATCCTGCCCCAGTCGGGGATAGCCGTGGGGGTCACTAGTGGCAGGGTGGGGCCCAATGGCCATGGGGCAGGAGGGAGTGATGGGAGGAAGCCCACCCCAGCCTGGAGGAAGAGGGGCTCAAACCAGCGTGGCCCTGGGCTCTGTGCCAGCCTGCGGGGTTTAGGAGTCCAGATGGACGATGCCTGGCTAGAGCCCTGCCAGAGCAGCACGACCTGCTGGCAATGACTTTCTGCCTGGACATGCACCAGCTGCCCTGCCCAGGAAGAGCCGGAATGCCTGTTGGTGTGACAGAGGCATGGTGCTGCCTAGCCCTTCAGAGCAGCCTGCTGGCCTTGGGCTGCCCCTGTGCTCTGCTCGTTCCCTGTTGTCACTCCTGCCTGTGGCCCCTGGGCATTCCTCTTGCTACTTCTCTAGGCCCTGGACCGCTGGGCCTCATCCTTACCCAGACTACTCCAGCCAATCTATGGTTTGGGTCACTGTCCTGCTCTCCCCACCTCAGGCCTAGGACGTGGTAAGCTGGAGGCTCCTTTGCCCCTGCATGGCTGGCTGACCGGGGGCCATGGTGGGAGGCGCTGGTGCCTTTTCCGGGGGCAGGTGAGGCACACTTCTGCAGGGGGTTGTCTTGGCAGCAGGGGTCGAGGAGCCTTTCCCTCAGTTGGCACCTCAGTGGAGGGTGTTATGCCCTTGCTGGCTTTGGAGGGCTACAGCCCTGCTTTGGGTGGTGGGGGCACCTGGCTGGCCGTGCACCCAGGAGGCCTGCCTGGAGGGCACACGTCCCCACTTAGTTATCGCTTGGCGGAGTTGCAGATGCTCTCTCTTTTTTTTTCCCCCTACAGCCAAGCTGGGGCTGCTGCAGGATGTTGGGCCACGCCCCTTCGCCCCTACCCCTGCCCCAGGCCGTTCCTGTGGGTGGGGCTGTCAGCAGCTCCCCACACCGCCTTCCCACCCAGCTTGGTGCTGCAGGCCTCTCCCCTTGGTGACTTTGTGAAGTGCCGCCTGGCTAGACTCCTGCCTGTGTGGAGGCTCCTTCCCTTCCCCTTTGCCCTCCTCACCTCCTTACCTGCTGGTCCTTTGCCCAGCCCAAGCCAGCGTGTCACCGTCCCCAGGGCTCAACCCTCCACTGCCCAGGCTATCCACCCTTGTCTGCACTGTAATCGCCACCCTAACTTTGCTGGCCCGGGCTTAGCCTTCAGCCTCACTCCAGTCCTCAGACCCTTGGGGCCACTGTCCTCGGGGGCCTGCTCCCCACGTGCTCTTCCTAATGAGGCTGCCTCCCTGCCTGTGTGGAGCCCTGCGCCCACCACTGTGCGGGCGGGATACCAGACGCCCCGAGGTGCTGTGGCTGCATCTCCTCTGCCGTCCTTTCCTGCCCTCCCCGCTTCCCCCTGGCACAGGGTCTTCCCTGGGCTGGAGGCTGCACTTGACTTAGGGCATCCCACCTGGGTAGCTGTGGCAACTTTGGTAGGGGCTGCATGGTGGTCCTCTTGCCCATGGAGCTTGGGCTGAGTGAGGGATGGGAGCAGGCAGGTGTGTGCTGGGGAGTGAGGGGCAGGGTGGGGCGCTCACCCCCAGCCAGGGCCGGTCTGGGCTTGGCCCAGAGTCCAGGGTGGACACCCTTCGGTAACCGGTAACCGGAGCAGGGCGTGCACGGGTGGGGCGAGGTGAGAGGGAACAAAGGGCTTGTGAGAGCCGGGAGGTGGGCCAGGCCAGGACCCACCTGCTGTGCTCGCTTGGTGCAGCGGGCAAAGTCCCGAGAGCCAGGTGACCGGGTGTGTGCAAGTGCCAGCCCCTGGCCACACCCCTCCCGCCCTTCCTGTCTGCCCGGGGTTTGGAGGCTGTCCCCCCAGCAGCATGAGTCACGGGGCGTCCTGTGGCCCACAGACCTGCAGCCACCAGGAGGGAGGCCTGTGAGAACCGCCCCGCCCCTGCCTGGCCAGGCTGTGCCAGGCTCCGTGCCGGCATGCGCCCAGCCCCCTTGGTCTCCTCACTAGGAGCTGGTCATGTGGACTAATGAGGGCACACTAATCCGGCCAGGCCCTGGCAGCCGGCCGTTCCTGTGTCTTCAGCAGTGGGGGATGGGCCCAGAAGGCTCAGGGTCGTCAGGGATAACGTCATGTACCCAGGGGTGACTGGGAGCCCTGTTCATTGTGGCGCCTGCGGGCGGGGGCGGGGGCCCTGGGCTGGCAGCCCTATCCTGCTTTGGGCTCCTCTTGGGGTATCTGTCCCTGAGTTCCAGAGGGCCAGTCCTGCAGAGCCAGGCAACTCTATCCCCGCACTGGCTGGCAGTGAGTGGGCCCCTGTGGGCTCTGGTGGTCACCCCCCTATGACACCCTGTGTCCTGGTTGGCCTTCTCTAGGGGAGCTGCTGGAGGTCTGGGTGAGGCCTACCTAGGGACAGAGCAGGGTGAGGGACAGTGTGCCTTCCAGTGATGGGAGCAAACATCTCACTCCTGGTGTTGCTAACTCAGGTGGTCTGTCCCTGTCTGCTCATGTCCATCTGCTCATGTCCATGACTGCTTGTCTGTGCAGACGGCCAGGGAAAGGGGGGCTGGGATAAGGGAGCTGGGACTGGGCCGGCGACTTGCCCGGCCGGTGACTGTGTGTGAGCGGTGCTGAGAAGGGGAAGCCCAGGAGCTCGGTGGGCAGGTTGGGGTGCCCACGCTGTGCCAGGCTGCATGTGCAGGCGTGGCTGTGGGAAGAGAGGGTCAGGGCGGCAGGAGCATGTGCCCTTGTTTCTGGACCCTGGCTCAGCAGAGCAGTGCCTCCCGCTCCTGGTGGGCCCTGTGTGTGTCCCCCGAGGCCAGTGCCGAGTTGCCTCTGCTGCCCCAGGCTGCAAGCCCTGCCCTCCTATGTGGGCCCTCCTCGTCCTGCTGTTCCTGAGCCCCATGGTTCTCTGCCTGGGGGCCCAGCTCCTGCCTCTGGCTCCTTCCAGGGGAGAAGGAGGAACCTGAGCTGGCTGCCGGTGTCCTGTGCCCAGGAGTTTAATATTTCGAGCTCCAGCAGGGCTGCTCCCATCTGCTGCACGCGGGCGGCTCTCGTATTCATTACCGACCCGCCGGGCTCAGCCGAGCTCTGCTGAGCAGGCCTGGGGGGCATGCGGCTCCTGTGGGGAGCCATCCCTGGTTGCGGGGGGCAAGGATACTGATCCTGAGTGCCTCAGGCCTTCTGCTGACGCCTGTCCCCCTGCCCATCAGGACCAACAGCCTAACCTGGGCTCTGAGGCTGTTGGAAGACGGAGAGAATCTGCTCAGGCATGAAATCTTGGAGCCTGCAGAATGGGCAGGGTAGATGAGGGCCAGATGGGCTGCCTGGGTGGGAAGAAAGGGTCACCAACCCCCACTCGGTGTAGCTTTGGGCCAGCTCTGACTCAGTCCGTAATGTGGGGTGACAGCACTTGGTGCCACCTTCCTGGGGCTGGCACACAGCAGCTGCCTGGCTTTGGCACCTCATGGGCCGTTGGCCTGGCCTTGGGTATGCTGGGTGGCGTCTGTGCTGAGCTGGGTAGGCAGGGTTGTCCAGGTGCCTAGCAAGCAGGACGTGAACTTGGTTCTGGAGAGAGGCCCCCCTGAGGATGTAGGACGCCCCCAAGGATGTGGGCCCCTGAGTGCAGCCTCACTTGGACCCTGCTCCTGCTATGGAGTCACAAGTGGGAGATGTGATTGGTGCTCTGCTCCCTTGAGAAGGCAGCCCTTCGACCCTTGGAGCTGCCTTAGAGACTTCTGGAGACCCCGAGGCTTGGGACTTCTGGTGCTGGTTGGGGTCTGGTCCCTGGGAGGGGTGGGTCACTTAGGGTGATGTGGTCCTGGGCCTGGGGTGTGGGGAGGGGTGGGTGGCGGGGAGGGGCGGGTGGGGTCTGGGTGCAGGTGTTTGGACACACTGGCCCTGGGTCTGCTGTAGGTAGCCAGACCCAGCCCTCCTTGGGTCCTGGTGGCCTGGGCCTGCAGCGTCCAGGTGGAGAGGTCGTCTCTGAGGAGGGGCAGCCCCTGACCTCTCAGAGCCTCTGAAGGGCCTATAGTGTGTTCTGCTACCTGCTCGGGTCTGACACCCTTCACCGTGCCCCTGAGGGTCAGTGCACCAGTTTGGTCTGGCTGGAGGACCCCTGGTGGCTGGGCAGCAGGGCCTTTGCTGATGTGCCTCTTGCTCCTAGATGAAGATCTCCTTCAACGACAAGAGCCTGCAGACCACATTCGAGTACCCTTCTGAAAGCTCCCTGGTGCAGGAGGCAGAGGCGGAAGCAGAGGAGGGGGAGGAGGAGGAAGAGGAGGAAGAGGAGGAGGAGGCGGAGGAGGCGGAGGAGGCGTCTGGCTCAGAGGAGGTGGTGGAGAAGCCCTTTGCACTCTTCCTGCCCCGAGCCACGTTCGTGAACAGTGTGGGGCCCGAGAGCCCTCGGCTGCTAGACAGCAGCTCAGGTAAGTGTCCAGCTGTTGGGATGGGTGGCCCAGTGGGTAGCCTGGGCCACATGTCCATGCACCCACATGTCCACGCGTGTGCCCCTCGGCCCGCAGGCTTGTCCAGCTATACTCCAAAGCATTCCCTGGCCTTCAGTAAGTGGCAGGAGCAGACGCTGGAGCCGGCTCCCAGTGAGGTGGAGCCTGTGCCGAAGGAGGTCATGGTGAGTGGGGGCAGGGTGGGTGGACGCACAGGGTGCAGGGCTGGGGTGGGGGCTGTCTCTAAGGCCTGGATGAGCCCCATTGGCTGCCTCTGTGCCCCTCTCTCAGCTCACCCCTGCCAGTCAGAAAGACCTCTCGGACTTCCGCAGCGAGCCAGCCCTCTATTTCTGACCCCGGCCCTGCCAAGATGGCCAAGGCGGAGCCCTGGGAGCTCCGCCCTCATTCTGCACCCCTCTTCTGCCCTGCCAGGCTCTGCCCTCCATGTCACACCCTCCCTTCCTAGGACCTCACAGCCATGCTGGTACTCAGGGCCTGAGGCTGGGGCACCTGGGGCTCCTCTTTCTCGTGGGGCTGTCTGGGTCTCGCTCTCTGGCCCTGGTTTGGGGCACTGCCTGTTGAGGAGGGACGGGGTCCTGGCGGACGCTGTGCCCAGCAGCTGCCAAGTGTGTCCCAGGCGAAGGGCTGGCCTGGCTGCCTGTCCTCTGCAGGACTCCAAGCCTCCCCAGCCTACACCCCCACGGTGGAGCTCAGCCCACCCCCTTTGTGATGAATGGCAAGTCTTTTCTCGCCTCTGATGATGGACTCAATAAATAGCACTGGACGAACTGCCTCTGCCTTTCCTGCATGGTCCTCGGCCTGAGAAGGGGGCACAGGGGTGGGGTCTCTGGGGCTCCATTGAGGTGTTGGCAGCCTGCCGGAAGCCACATAGGGTGTGATGGGGCCCAGCATGGATGTCTGCCTGGGTATGGGAGGGGCCCTGGGTGGCATCCCAGTCCTAGTGGTTCAGGCTCTCGCTCCCCACAGGCCCAGTTGTCTGGCTTCCCCTCCCAGCCAGTCCCTCCCCTGGGAGAGGGACCTCCCTGTGCCTGCCCCCATCTGTGGAGCAGCCCCCTCCCCACCAGGGCTGACACAAGGGCAGCTACGGTGGGAGGTGGGACACCAGGCCTGCTTTTTGGGGTCTGAAACTCCCCAGGCACTCTAGGCAGCAGGGGTGGGAGTGCTGCAGCTGTCGGGTCTGAAGGGCCAAAAGCCTGGGAGGGGATGAAGGGCAGGGCAGGGAGTGGGCAGAGCTTCAGGGATCTTGCCTCCTGTTTGGCTTGGAAAGCTCCCTGACCCATGGGAGCCTGCAGCAAGGCTGTGGCAGGCAGGCTGCTCCCCTGGGGTCAGTGCTAGCAGGTGGCAGGAGAACCCGACAGATCTGAGGTGTTACACACAGCTGCCCGCTAGGGAACAGCTCCTGGCTGGGCTGCTGCCTCAGACATACTTGGCTGCCTGTGTAGCCGCAAGCTGGAGCCGGGGCTGTTTATGATCCATGCTTCGAATGAGAGTCTCTCCGTCCTAGAGAGTCAAGCCCATCATAATTGCCACCTAGCCAGGCTTGGGAAGGACGACGGTGTTTTGGGGGTGTTTTCTTGGGAGAGGTGGGCCCAAGTCTCTCCAGACTCTCCAGCAACATGCTTCCCAAATCAGTTCAGCCCACCCTGGGCTGCAGGGACCCCAGCAGGGCTGACAGGCCAACAGAGACAGACGCAGAGAGGACTCGGGCTGGAGGGCTGGGCCCCAGGCAACATGGAAAGCTGAAAGTGGGCACGCTTGGTGTGTGGCCAGTGAAGGCGAGAAGCAGTGGTGCCGTCGCGGTGAGCAGAGTTTAGAATCATGGAGCTAGGGCGCAATCCTTGGTGGGGGACCTGAGCCCAGGAAAGGCATCTCCCTGGGCCAGGCCTTGTGCTGGACACCGGGCTGTGGCAGAGACTAGGACCAGCAGGCAGAGCCCCTCAGTAGGGGATGAGCTGTGTGCTGGAGTCGGGGAGGGGGCCAGTGGCCCCGGTGCGGAGAGGGTGGGCGATGAGGGTCATGGGAGATCCTCAGGGTCACTCTCAGCTTTGTCCCCAAGGCCAGCAAGGCTGGTCACAGGGAAAGCCACTCCAGGCTATCCTCTAACCTCTCCCTCACAGAGGAGCTACGCAATAGCTGGGCAGGGGCTCGTGTTCTGGCTCTGGGAGTATCCGGCAGCCCCGTAATCCTGACAGAGGCAGCAGGCTGGCATGGATCTTTACAAAGACAACCTTTATTGACAGTCACAGACCACAAGGACAAGCTCTAAGGTGAAGGAGGGGCCCAGCCCCTCCCCCACTCACCAGGCCTGGGCACCTGCTGGCCAAGGGACAAGGTGAAGGAACTCCCCTAACCAGGGCCTTACCTACAGCCGAGGGGAGTATGGGGACCTCAGACAGGCCCCAAGTGGAGCTGGCCCCGAGCTCGCCCTCCCTGTAGCCTGAGTGACCACAGGGCCAGGACTCCCACCTGGTGGGCTGCGCCCAGGGCTTTTCTTGTCACTCAGGGCCAATGGAGGCTGGCAGCTGCCTCCCTTGGCACCTGAGACAGTGCAAGAAGTTAGCTCCTGTCATGAAAAACAGACACTGTGAAGACAGACTTGCTAGGGGCCAAGCCATTGATGGCTGCAGTGGAGACAGGCCCCTCTCCACCTGTGGCTTCATGAACTGTCCTTCTCGTCAATGATCTCCTGCTCTGAGGCCATGACTTTGCTCAGGTTCCCGGCTTCCCTCTTCACAACACTAAGCAGAGCCTGTGAGCTCTCCAGGATCTGGGAACAGAAACAGGCATGAGACGGTTCCTTCTGTCAGAAAACTCCTGCAGCCCAGCCCCCCTCACACATGGTGCCAGGGCCAGGCTGTGGGGGCTACGGGACAGGAGCTGCCGAAAGGAAGCCCCTGAGGGGACAGGCGGACAGCGTCAGCAGGGCACTTTTCCCTCCGAGTCTAGCCCAAAGCCCCTTCCTCGCACCCTGGGAAAGCCACACCAGGTGAGCCCTTGCCCCTGCTGCTACTCTGCTGCTTCCCCTGTGCTGCTCATGGTACCACTTAGGGTGCAAAGAACAGAACTCAGGACGCACCAGGCCCCACCGACGGCCGGGCTGTCACTCCACAGTGGGCCCGGCCACACCGGAGTCCTATCACCTCTGCTTGTGGGTGTCCCTAGGCCAAAAACCGCCTGGGGACTCCGCGAGCCCTACCTTGAAGAAGGCAGCCTCAGACTCTGTGATGGTCCGGTCAAGCTCTTTGTAAGACGCGATCTTGCATGCCAGATTCTCGTTGACTAGGGCCAGCTTCTCTGTCAACCGCCTCAACTGATTATGCAGCCGCTGCTTCTCCTTCTCCTCCTTCTGGATCTGCCGGCACAACTTGTTCCGCCTCTGGCACAGGACCTCCATGCCTAGGGTGGGCGGGGAGGGGCAGGCGCTGTGGACCCAGGGCAGGAAGGAGAGCACCACCCCTCCCAGTCTGCAGCCCACAGCTTTGTAGCGGAAACGAGTGGTGGCGGGCGGGGGTGCCACCTTCCGCCTGAGCCCGGCCAGTGTCCACCTCCGGGGTCTAAGGGTTAAAGAAGGCACCGCACGAGACAGCCGGGGACGGGGACGGGGCGGGGGGACCGGGGCCAGCGCATGCTCAAGCTCCTCATCCTCCTGCTCGCTCCATAGATATTCGGTCCTCGGCGATGCCACACTGTGGTCGCGCGCTGGGAAGATCCGCATGGCCTCCGCGCCGTCCGGCCGGACACCCACGCACCGGCCACGCGCTGCGGGCCATCGCGCCTGGGCCGGCAGGGGCGAGCCCCGCGCCCTCCCGGGGCCCAGCGGGCCCGCCGCGCGGCCGCTCACCCTTGATCAGCTGGTTGTTGTAGTCCTGCATCGCCGCGCCCTGCTCGGTCATGGTCGCCGCGCCCTCCTCGGTCATGGTCGCCGCGCCCTCCTCGGTCAAGGGCTCCGCGCCCTCCTCGGTCATGGTCGCCGCCCAGGCTCGGCCGCGCCAACCGCCGCTACCGCATCGCTGCCCGCGCCTGCGCACTGCCTCCAGACGGCGCGCCCACCGTACGTCACTGCCGCGCGCCTCGTGTGCGTCATCTCCCTGCGCGCCCAGCCCTCCCTCACCGCCGCGCGTCGCGCCGGGCGGCTGTGGGAGCGGGTGGACGCAGATGGCGGCGGCGGGGCACGGCGACCCCGCGCCTTCACAGGAGCTGCTGGTGGCCTGGAATACCGTGAGCACCGGGCTGGTGCCGCCGGCAGCGCTGGGGCTGGTGAGGCCTGGGAGGAGGCTTTGTTGGGGCGCCCGCCCTCGGGTTGCTGCAGCGCCGTCCTCGCCGGCCCCTGTCCTGCCTCTTCTTCCACGGTCCCTCCTCATTTGGCTTCCCGCAGCCCTTCCCTGGCATCGGCCCGGCATCCGCGCGCCGCGGACTAGGGGCAGCGGGGTTTCCGCAGCCTCCCCTCCATCTGGCCCTTCCCCGCCTCTCCCCAGCCGTCACCGCCTTCCCCATCTCTTCGCTGTGTTCCCTTCTCACAGTTGTCTGCGCTCCAGGCGTCCTCCCGGACCAGCGGTGCGGTCCCGCCGAAGGAGGAGGAGCTCCGGGCGGCGGTGGAGGTGCTGAGGGGCCACGGTCTGCACTCAGTCCTGGAGGAGTGGTTCGTAGAGGTGCTGCAAAACGACCTGCAGGCCAACATCTCGCTGGAATTCTGGAATGCCATCTCCCAGCGCGAGAACTGTGCCGACGAGCCCCAGTGCCTTCTGCTGCTCCTTGACGCTTTTGGCCTGCTGGAGAACCGCCTGGATCCCTACCTGCATAGCCTGGAGCTCCTGGAGAAATGGACTCGCCTGGGCTTGCTGATGGGCACCGGTGCTCAGGGGCTGCGGGAAAAGGTCCACACCACTTTGCGGGGCGTCCTGTTCTTTTCCACTCCCAGAATCTTTCAGGAAATGATCCAGCGCCTGTATGGGCGCTTCTTGAGAGTCTATATGCAGAGTAAGAGGAAAGGGGAAGGGGGCACAGATCCAGAACTGGAGGGGGAATTGGACAGCAGGTATGCCCGCCGCCGGTACTACCGGCTTCTGCAGAGCCCGCTATGTGCGGGATGTGGCAGCGACAAGCAGCAGTGCTGGTGCCGCCAGGCACTGGAGCAGTTCCACCAGCTCAGCCAGGTCCTGTGAGTACTCCCGCCTGTGTGGCCTTGCCCTGTTCCTCCTTAGTCCCACTTGTTCCCCTGGGTCCAGCTGGCCTCTGCAGAGAGCTGGTGAGCTGGCTGGGGGCTCTGCCACCTGTCCTGATAGCCACGGGCATGACAAGGGGAGGGTCCCCAGGATCCCTGTGCTGTGAGTTTATACCTTTTGTTCTGGACGCAGGTGTGTCTCTCTGTCACTCAGGTAAACCTAGGGTTCCACGCTTTGCTTATGCTGAGACCTCACGTGGTTCCAAGTTTCGTGGGCCACGCAGAATTCTGCTGTGCTTTCTGTAGGCTCTCCAGGGGAGGAATGATGTTCGTTCTACCCTGTAATTGCAAAAAGTGGGCTTGTTATTTTTCTTCTCCAGAGAGAGTTGGACATTAGGCTGACATGTTGGGCAAGCGATTGCCTTTGCAGCCCTTTGAAGTGGAAAGGTTGTTGTCGTTGTCATTGTCGTTAGAACCAGGTTGTGTTGTATGGGTCCTACACTCTCTGTGGCCATTTATGATGATTTTGTCACTTCAAGTGGCGTGGCAGCAGTACAGCTGTTGGGGAGAGACTTTTAGCTGGACCCAGGGAGTGGTCCTGTTGCTGGCAGGGGTCAGGGAGGCCCTGAAGGGCTTCTGCTGGGTTCATCCCAGGTGAAAGTGACGCAGAAAGGTTCTTTTTCATTTTTTCTTGCATTTGTTTGCCATTGTAGACGAGAGTATGCACTGAAAGGCACTTAAAGACAGCAGTATCTATATTTATGTGGCCAGAGTAGGGATGTATTTAGGTGTTGTTTCACAGCCGTTTCTAGATGAGGCCTTGATCCCTGATAGCCACACACGCTGCTCACCTGGGGAAGGCCAGTGCCCTGGCCTGGGCAGAGAGGCCAGCTGGGGAGGGCGGGCGGTGGCTTGTCCGTGCTCCCTCATCCCAGCGGCTTTGAGGAAGAACCCTTGGTACAGTTGTGCCCCCACCAGGAGGGCCCTGGAGAGGTGTGTGCCCACTGTGGGGGGTGGGGGTGTGTGTGCTCTGCGTGTTCCACGGGCAGGGCTCTCCTCCAGACATAGGCTCAGTCTGCTGGAGCGGGTCAGTGCTGAGGCCGTGACCACCACCCTGCACCAAGTGACTCGGGAGCGGATGGAGGACCGCTGTCGGGGCGAGTACGAGCGCTCCTTCCTGCGTGAGTTCCACAAGGTGAGGACGTCCCTCCTCGAGCCTGATCCCTGGGGATGGGGGATAGGCTTCTGGCAAACCTGAGACTCTGGCTTTGGAAGCAGCCAGAGTGTGGAGGCCAGTCCTTCTGGGCCTGCCCTAGTGACAGCAAGGAAAGCCTGTGACATGCTCGGCGAGGTCTGTGCAGAATCACCTGGTTAGAGGCAGTGCCAAGGTCTGAGGTGTCCCATTGAGGGGCCTCAGAGTGCCCACGCTGTTGGGTGTGGTCTGGGGCTCTGCTCTGGTCTCCCCAGAGTCATGGAGCAGCTGGCTCCAGCCTCAGCGGCCGTCTAGCCTGCTTCCACTTACCACCTGTTCTCCTCGGTTTCCTAGTGTCCACCTTATGAGGGTGCAGATTAGCCGCAATGGGGGATTCAAAGCAAGTGTCTCTCCCCGCAGGAGTGGTCTGAAGTGGGTGGCAGCCTGGAGGCCTGGTAGGGGCAGCTGTGCTGCCTCCAGGTGGCAGAGTGTCGGGGTGGTCTCATCAGTGGTTGGGTGGTCTATGGGGGGACGTGTGTGTCTTCGGGTTCGTGTGGCAGTATGTCCTGTAGGTTTATATGTGTGCGCTCAGAAATGTTCTCACTATATGGTACGTTGTTTACACGTGGCGGGGGCCAGTCGTGTATGTGGCCTCAGGGCAAGTCTGTCCACTCAGGCGGAGGCGAGCACAAGCTGCTATGTGCCCTACGTTAGGGCCACTGTTGCTAGAGATAAGCATGGGCACTGAGGCACGTGGAGGGGCATGGGGGTGCATTGATGGAGGATCTGGGACGCCACCTTTGTTTTCCTCATCCTGCTGATTTCCATGTGCTCCTGGCCTCCAGAGCAGGTGGCCTTGGGGACTCCCTGGGGCCTGGCCGGCAGAGTGGGTAGCTGTGGGCTTCTCCCAGCTTCTCTTCTGAGTCACGCTGGGTCTCAGCCCCCACCGCCCCACACCTGTGCTCTCCCGACAGTGGATCGAGAGGGTGGTCGGCTGGCTGGGCAAGGTGTTCTTGCAGGACGGCCCCACCAGACCTGCGTCCCCTGAGGCTGGCAACATGCTGCGCCGCTGGCGCTGCCACGTGCAGAGGTTCTTCTACCGCGTCTATGCCAGCCTGCGCATTGAGGAGCTCTTCAGCATCATCCGAGGTCAGCCCCCGGCCCACCTGCCTTCCCTGTGCCTTTGCCCTTCCGCTGTGCGGGTGGCCAGGAGCACCTGGAGCGTGCTGTCCAAGTGTGTCCCAGTGGGACTCCTCCCAGCCCAGTGTCGGGATCAGGTGTGGCAGGGTGCCTGATGGTGTTTCTGGGCGTTCACCCCTGCCCGTCAGTCTCATGTCCTTGCTCTGGACTGGCCCTTGGGCATTGTTCCGTCCGTCTGCCCTGTAGGGCGTTGTGGTCAAGTGTGTGGGCATGTGAAGGCGCAGGGGCGATGTGCGGCACCTGCAAGTGTCGGTACTGGTCATCAGATGTAGGTGTAGCTGCAGGAGCCCTAGGTCGGCACCTACTATCTCACGTGCAGTGTGCGCGCCCTGGATGTGCGTGCAAAGCCTGGCCCTCTTCTTGCAGACTTCCCAGACTCCCGGCCAGCCGTCGAGGACCTCAAGTACTGCCTAGAGAGGACTGACCAGAGGCAGCAGCTGCTCGTGTCTCTCAAGGCCGCCCTGGAGACGCGGCTCCTCCACCCAGGTTCCTCGCGCTCTGCCAACCCTGCCGGCGCCCTGCTCAGCCCTCAGGGCCCAGACCCAGGAGCCCCAGGGTCCAGTGTCCCAGCCTGCAGGGCCTAGGCGGGGAGCGGATTAAGTTTTGTGCAGTTTTCGGGGGGCTGGGGGACTCTCTGCTTCACCCTCCTTCAAAGGGAGTTGTGATAACTGACAAGTTTGGCTTGGGGGCAGCGGCGGTGCATGATCCCCTCAGAACAGACCGCCTGGTGAGGGGAGGGCTTGGATCTTGGAAAGTTCTGGAGAAAGTGTGAGTCGCGAGGGGGTGGGTGGGGAAGGGGGCAGCTTCAGTGGATTGCGCCAGTTTCCTGGGAAGTGGGGTCCAGTGGTGACTTGAAGACCACCTGACCAGTGTGTGGCTGCCCCGATGTCCCTGTGTTGTCCTGGGCGCCACCGCGACCACGTCTCTTCTCCTGGCCGTAGGTGTCAACACGTGCGACATCATTACCCTCTACATTTCCGCCATCAAGGCGCTGCGCGTGCTGGACCCCTCCATGGTCGTCCTGGAGGTGGCCTGTGAGCCCATCCGCCGCTACCTGAGGTGGGCGCCCTGCTGGCCCCGGGAGCCGCTCAGACTCAGGGCAGCCGAGCTCTCGTGGGTCCTGCAGCTGGGGGAGTGGCCCTCGGGACACCAAGGCCCCTCCGTCCCTCCTGCTGGGCCGAGCGGCCTTGCCCTTCGTCTTGCTGGCACCAGCTCCTATCCTGTCGCTCAGTGTCACCATGCCTGTGTGCAGACTCGGGGGGCCCCGCCTGCGCCCCTCTCTCCCCCCGCCCTCTCCCAGCAGAGAGAGGTGCCCCTGCTCAGCTCTGCGTCATGCTGACCAGGCCCGAGGCTGTTGGGGCGGAGCAGGGCCCTGAGCAGAGACTCGGGCTGTCCGTTGGAGGACGTGTTTG